CCTCAGCAAGCCATCCAGGCAGGGGCTTATTTACCACAAGGCATTTGCTTAGGGCGCCATTTTTTCAGGGGGGCAGCAGCATTTTTATGGGGGGGCAGCGCCACCTGACAAAAGAAGGGATGGAAGAAAGGACACATGCAGTATGGGGACCAGGTGGGATCTAAGAGGGGCTGTTTGATGGTGTATACTAGAGATGAGCGAATCGAACATGGCGAAGTGGAATTCGTTTTGAAGATCAGGAAAAATTTGATTCGCGCCGAATCCGAAAATTAGCAAACTTCGGATGCACGAATCGAATTTTCCCAAAAATGGCGGCGACATGTGTGGCGACGGAGCGGGGATCTCTGGGAAGGCGCGCAGACAAGGCGCGCTGACCCATAATGCATTCATTCATGACATGTGATCGCATTAGCCAATCAGCAGCCAGCCAGCCAGCACTGTGTAATGGTGGAGCTATAAATTGCGGCCATCTTAGAATTCTCCATTAGCCTCCGGTCATTCAAGAGAGACAGACCTGTCTGTATTAGGGACAGAGTTAGGGCCACAGAGACTTTAGGGCCACAGAATCGTTACTCAGGGACACAGAATCGTTACTCAGGGACACAGAATTGTTACTCAGGGACACAGAATTGTTACTCAGGGACACAGAATCGTTACTCAGGGACAGACACAGAATTGTTACTCAGGGACACAGAATTGTTACTCAGGGACACAGAATCGTTACTCAGGGACACAGAATTGTTACTCAGGGACACAGAATCGTTACTCAGGGACACAGAATTGTTACTCAGGGACACAGAATTGTTACTCAGGGACACAGAATTGTTACTGAGGGACACAGAATCGTTACTCAGGGACACAGAATCGTTACTCAGGGACACAGAATCGTTACTCAGGGACACAGAATTGTTACTCAGGGACACAGAATCGTTACTTAGGGACACAGAATCGTTACTCAGGGACACAGAATTGTTACTCAGGGACACAGAATTGTTACTCAGGGACACAGAATCGTTACTCAGGGGACAGACACAGAATTGTTACTCAGGGACACAGAATTGTCACTGAGGGACACAGAATCGTTACTCAGGGACACAGAATTGTTACTCAGGGACACAGAATCGTTACTCAGGGACACAGAATTGTTACTCAGGGACACAGAATTGTTACTCAGGGACAGACACAGAATTGTTACTCAGGGACACAGAATCGTTACTCAGGGACAGAGAATCGTTACTCAGGGACACAGAATCGTTACTGAGGGACACAGAATTGTTACTCAGGGACACAGAATTGTTACTCAGGGACACAGAATTGTTACTCAGGGACAGACACAGAATTGTTACTCAGGGACACAGAATTGTTACTCAGGGACAGACACAGAATCGTTACTCAGGGACACAGAATCGTTACTGAGTGACACAGAATCGTTACTCAGGGACACAGAATTGTTACTCAGGGACACAGAATTGTTACTCTGGGACACAGAATTGTTACTCAGGGACACAGAATTGTTACTGAGTGACACAGAATCGTTATTCAGGGACACAGAATCGTTACTCAGGGACACAGAATTGTTACTCAGGGACACAGAATTGTTACTCAGGGACACAGAATTGTTACTGAGGGACACAGAATCGTTACTCAGGGACACAGAATCGTTACTCAGGGACACAGAATCGTTACTCAGGGACACAGAATCGTTACTCAGGGACACAGAATTGTTACTCAGGGACACAGAATTGTTACTGAGGGACACAGAATTGTTACTGAGGGACACAAAATCGTTACTCAGGGACACAGAATCGTTACTCAGGGACACAGAATCGTTACTCAGGGACACAGAATTGTTACTCAGGGACACAGAATCGTTACTCAGGGACACAGAATCGTTACTCAGGGACACAGAATTGTTACTGAGGGACACAGAATCGTTACTGAGGGACACAGAATCGTTACTGAGGGACACAGAATTGTTACTCAGGGACACAGAATCGTTACTCAGGGACACAGAATCGTTACTCAGGGACACAGAATCGTTGAATTAAAGAGTATGTCAGACAACATGCAGAGGAGTGGCAGAGGAGGCAATGTTGTTTCAGGAGCGAGCAGACGTGGCAGCAGAGGAAGGGGTCGAGACAGCACTAGTCGCAGCCAGAGGCCAGTGCTCTCCCGGTGTCATCCAGCGGTCGTGTCTCCACCGACAACCCTGCCGTCATCGATTGGTTGGCTCGGTCGTCTTCCTCTTCCCAGGTCACCTCTGACACCTACAGCCAACGGTCGGTGGGTAAGTCAGACACAACCGTTAGTTGGCATGGCCCGGGAGCAAGCCCACTGAAATCACGTGTCCTCTACCTGCCCCTGTCCTTTGGTGTTCCCTCACCAAGCGAAGTATCGCATGCTGTGGGCTCAGCCCCACTGTACAGTGAGGAAGAGCTAACAGAGGGCGGTCAGGAACGGGGGGAGACATCCGCCTCTTCAGCAGCCAGGCGAAGAAGTACTGGCGAGGAGAGTGGCTCGGTAGCCGGTCTAGAGACAGGTCTGTCTCCTGACCCACACGCAGCCGAGGGGGCTAGTAGTGAGGCGGAGACCCTAATTGATGATGATGAGGCTGATCGCACTTGGCAGCCTCGTCGTCATCAGGCTATTGCTTCCGCATCATCAGGAGAAGAGGGTGCCAGCTTGGCAGCGAGCAAAACAGTCGGTGGGGTTGCCCAGGAGGCAGCAGGGTCGCAGCAGTGTCAGTGGAGGCAAACGGCCACGGAGTAGAGCACCAGCTCCACTGCAGCCTACCACCACGGCCAGTAGTGGTGCCGGTGTGCACGGAGGAAGTAGCAGTCAGCCAGTGAGGAGTAGCGGGGGCAAAGTTTCCTACTCAGCGGTGTGGCAATTTTTCGTCAAGCCGCCCGAGGAAGTAAACGTAGCCGTATGTCGACTATGTGGCCAGAAAGTCAAGCGTGGCCAGGGGGCCCATGTTGGGACTACAGCGTTGCGTCAGCATATGCAGCGTCGCCATTTGGTGGCCTGGGAAAACCGTGATAAAAATACGGCGGTTCTGCCTGCCCCAGCCCCCGCTCCATCACCCGCTCCGTTACTTGCTCCGTCACCCGACGTAAATCGCCCTCTATCAGCCAGTCAAGGCTCCAACAACTCTGCTGAGGGGAGTTGTCGCTCGTTGGCATCTTCCGCTCGTTCAGATGCTCCTTCTCCTGCTACTCCTCTTCACGGATTCCGTCAGCAGTCTTTCTTGGAATCCGTTTCCAAGAGACAACAGTTTGCGAGCACGCACCCGACGGTGCAGAAGCTGAACGTCCTCCTGTCCAAGTTGCTGGTGCTGCAGTCCCTCCCTTTCCAAGTGGTGGACTCAGCACCTTTCCGAGAAATGATGGCTTGTGCCGCGCCGCGGTGGAGAGTGCCAAGCCGGCATTTCTTTGCCAAAAAGGCAGTGCCAGCCCTGCATTCACATGTAGAAGAGATGGTGGGCCAGTCTTTGAGCATGTCGGTCTCTACCAAAGTGCACGGCAGCGCCGACGTGTGGAGCTGTAACTACGGTCAGGGACAGTACATGTCATTTACGGCCCACTGGGTGAACGTGGTGCCGGCACAGCCGCACCAGCAACTTGGACAGGTCACGCCGCTTTTGCCTCCACGTTTACACGTCCTTGGTCCAGCAAAGATGTCCGCCTCTACCACCTCTTCTTCCGCCGTGTCCTCAGCCGCCACCCCCGTGCCAAGTCCCATTACCCGACCGGCATATCACATGTGCAGGGCGCAACGGTGTCACGCTGTGCTGCACCTGGTATGCCTTGGCGAACGTAGTCACACAGGGGAGGAACTTCTCAGTGTAATGAACAGAGAAATCGACAGATGGCTGTCTCCGCGCAAACTGAAAATCGGAACCATGTTGACCGACAACGGAAAGAACATGGTGTCTGCTCTGCGTCAAGGAAGGTTGTGCCATGCGCCATGCATGGCTCACGTGTTCAATCTGGTTGTCAAGCGGTTCCTAAAATCCACCATCCCACTGCAAGACATCCTTAAAATGTCACGTAAACTTTGCATGCATGTCAGCCATTCCTACACCGCAAAGCACACCCTCCTTGAGCTGCAGCGGCAGAACGGAATTCCACAGCATCGCCTGATCTGCGACGTTGCAACAAGGTGGAATTCAACCCTACATATGTTAGACCGCCTTTACGAACAGCGAAAGGCCATCACCGATTTCCTGATGTTACAGGCTGTCCACCTTGTTGGACCCTCGCTACCGTTCAAAAATGGTGGCCTTTTTCACACCTGCTGAGAGGGGAGGCCAAAATAACGTACTATAAAAACCACCTATGTAGTCAGTTGGTCTCTGCCTTTCTGCGCCAACGTCCATCCTCAGACACTGTGGGCCCTGTGCGCTCGCGTTCCGCTGCCATGGCAGCAGGGGAGGGGTGGGGTGGTAGGAGCAGTGGCAGCTCCACCAGCAGCGGCTGCATCAGTCTGCAGTCGATGATGAGTAGCTTTCTTCACCAGCGCAGTGAGGAAACTACTAACCAGCCGCAGCAGCAGCAGCATCAGGTGGACCTGGAGCAGGACCTCAAACAACAGGCTTGGGCCTACTTGGACAGCACCCTGCCAACCGAGGTAGACAATCCCCTTGACTACTGGGCAACGAAACTTGACCTTTGGCCCCAACTAGCTGAATTTGCCTTGAAAGGCTGTCATGCCCGGCCAGTAGCGTGGCATCGGAGCGCGTGTTTAGTGCGGCAGGAGGTATTGTAACTCCGCGGAGGACACGACTGTCCACCCAAAGTGTGGAGAGACTCACGTTTGTGAAAAATGAATCAGGCGTGGATTAGTCTGGATTTCAAACCACCAGTTCCTGACACAACTGACTAAATCCGCCATGAATCATGCCCCAAACATGTTATTATTTTTAACATAGGCCTCTGTATGGCCTTCAATTTAAGCTGCTTACGCTTCGCCACTCTGCCATGGGCCCCTGTACCGCCTCCTCTTGCTGCTGCCAGGTCCAGAGTGTGTCATGGGTCCCTGTACGGCCTCCCATTGCTGCTGTCTCCATCGCCACACTCTGCCATGTGCCACTTTCAGGTCTCCTCACACTGCTGGTGGGTTCCATTTTGTCATAGGGTGCTGGCAGATTACGGGCCTCCCATTGCTGCTGCCAGGCCCGTAATCTGCCATGGGCCCCCGTACCGACTCCTCATGCTGCTGCCAGGTCCAGAGTGTGTCATGGGCCCCTGTACCGCCTCCTCATGCTGCTGCCAGGTCCAGAGTGTGTCATGGGTCCCTGTACGGCCTCCCATTGCTGCTGTCTCCATCGCCACACTCTGCCATGTGCCACTTTCAGGTCTCCTCACACTGCTGGTGGGTTCCATTTTTTCATAGGGTGCTGTATGGCCTCCCATTGCTGCTGCCAGGCCCTTAATCTGCCATGGGCCCCCGTACCGACTCCTCATGCTGCTGCCAGGCCCGTAATTGTGTCATGGGCCCCTGTACCGCCTCCTCATGCTGCTGCCAGGTCCAGAGTGTGTCATGGGTCCCTGTACGGCCTCCCATTGCTGCTGTCTCCATCGCCACACTCTGCCATTTGCCACTTTCAGGTCTCCTCACACTGCTGGTGGGTTCCATTTTGTCATAGGGTGCTGGCAGATTACGGGCCTCCCATTGCTGCTGCCAGGCCCGTAATCTGCCATGGGCCCCCGTACCGACTCCTCATGCTGCTGCCAGGCCCGTAATCTGTCATGGGCCCCTGTACCGCCTCCTCATGCTGCTGCCAGGTCCAGAGTGTGTCATGGGTCCCTGTACGGCCTCCCATTGCTGCTGTCTCCATCGCCACACTCTGCCATGTGCCACTTTCAGGTCTCCTCACACTGCTGGTGGGTTCCATTTTGTCATAGGGCGCTGGCAGATTACGGGCCTCCCATTGCTGCTGCCAGGCCCGTAATCTGCCATGGGCCCCCGTACCGACTCCTCATGCTGCTGCCAGGCCCGTAATCTGTCATGGGCCCCTGTACCGCCTCCTCATGCTGCTGCCAGGTCCAGAGTGTGTCATGGGTCCCTGTACGGCCTCCCATTGCTGCTGTCTCCATCGCCACACTCTGCCATGTGCCACTTTCAGGTCTCCTCACACTGCTGGTGGGTTCCATTTTTTCATAGGGTGCTGTATGGCCTCCCATTGCTGCTGCCTCCACCGCCACACTGTGGCTCCACACTCTGGTTTTGGCCCCGTGACTGCCCAAATGAGTGAAGTGTGCGGTGATTCTAAGATCGACGGCACTCATCTGCATGTCATACTGACTGACAGTATTATTTCTCTTCCCCAGCAGACTCCAAGGGCATTTAAATTAAAGGTACAGTGTTCTGCATTAATATAAAGGCTCTCTGAAGCCTAGAAACACCCTTTTTATAAGTTAAATTCGCAGCGAATATATTCGACTCGAATCGAATTTATTCCACGAATTTGCCGAATCAGCCGAATCGAATTTTTGAATAATTCGCTCATCTCTAGTGTATACAGAGCCTGACTCTTGTTCCCAGGGATGTCCGCAGCTGTGAAGGTGAGTATCTTCTCTCTTGCCGGGGTGGGGGGTTGCCAGTGAATGGGGGATGGTGGTAGTGGAAGGCTCTCTCAGGTGGGGTGTTGTTGGTCAATGTCAGGAAATTTTCGGGGGGAGGGGGGTGTTTGTCACTGTCAGGGTCTCTCCATAGGGGGGGCAATTTGTGTTGCCTAGGGCAGCAGGAAACCTAAATACACCACTTCATCCAGGTCTAGCCCCTTGGGCAACAGAGGCTCCAGTAACCAACAAAGTGCAAGGCAGAGAGGAAGAAGTACCTACCGCATCAACTGTTCTATCCAAGTGTATGGAGGTATGTGCAGAAGGGAAGGGGCCCAGATCATGTTCCAAGATTTGTTTAGTGAATGTATACTCCTGTAACAAACCTGACTGTTTTGTGAAAATGTATGCAGTGTTAGATGATCAAAGTAATGGCTCATTTGCCAAGTCAGAGTTCTTTAATACGTTTATTTGTGGTGAAACATTTTCTTATACACTAAAAACATGCTCAGGTACTATGTGTAGCTCCCTCCTAGTTAGCTAGGGGGAGCTAGCTAAATATTTTTTTAGTTAGAAGGCTGAATAGCCGCCTGGTGCAATAATCAGGGGGTCAAATTTGAGTCAGGGCTGAGAGGTTCTGCAGATCAGCTCTCTGAAACTTTCCCCTAATATAGAGACTTGGAGACATCTCTCAAACTCAGTAGGCGGGGGTGAGGAGTTGTTGGTCTGTATGCCTAAAGCAGTGGTTCTTAACCTTGTTGGAGGTACTGAACCCCACCAGTTTCATATGCGCATTCACCGAACCCTTCTTAATTGGAAAAATAAAATATGATTTTTAAAATTCAAAACATAGGTATATATTTAGGTATATATTCATACATAGGTGCACAAAATGAACAAAACCGTTAAGAACAAAGAACAAAACCATTAAAACATGATTTTCACACAAAAACAAAAACATAATAATGAATATTTACTGCACGAATCATATGAGTTGGGTGTGGGTCTTCACCTCCGCCGAACCCGCGAGACTGACTCACCGAACCCCTGGGGTTTGATCGAACCCAGGTTAAGAACCACTGTAGTAATTCATCCCCCATATAGTAATTCATCCCCCATAGTAATTCATCCCCCCTATAGTAATTCATCCCCCATATAGTAATTCATTCCCCATAGTAATTCATCCCCCATAGTAATTCATCCCCCATATAGTAATTCATCCCCCATAGTAATTCATCCCCCATATAGTAATTCATCCCCCATAGTAATTCATCCCCCATATAGTAATTCATCCCCCATAGTAATTCATCCCTCATAGTAATTCATCCCCCATAGTAATTCATCCCCCATATAGTAATTCATCCCCCATATAGTAATTCATCACCCATAGTAATTCATCCCCCATATAGTAATTCATCCCCCATATAGTAATTCATCCCCCATAGTAATTCATCCCCCCATATAGTAATTCATCCCCCATATAGTAATACATCCCCCATATAGTAATACATCCCCCATAGTAATTCATCCCCCATATAGTAATTCATCCCCCATAGTAATTCATCCCCCATAGTAATTCATCCCCCATATAGTAATTCATCCCCCATAGTAATACATCCCCCATATAGTAATTCATCCCCCATATAGTAATTCATCCCCCATAGTAATTCATCCCCCATATAGTAATTCATCCCCCATAGTAATACATCCCCCATATAGTAATTCATCCCCCATATAGTAATTCATCCCCCATAGTAATTCATCCCCCATATAGTAATTCATCCCCCCATATAGTAATTCATCCCCCCTATAGTAATTCATCCCCCATATTAATTCATCCCTTATATAGTAGTAGTAAGTAAGTAGCAAGTAGTAAGCCAAGTCCCCCCTGTGTCAATTCACTTACCTTTGCTCCGCGCGTTCCTCTCGCTGTATTCCCGCGCCGTTCCGGTCTTCAGGGCGGACTGTGAGAGGAGCCTAGCTCCTCTCACGTTCGTCACGCTGCCCCGCCTACACACATCCTGACAGCCAATCACTGGCTATCAGGATGTGAGTGGCAGCGAGACTGGCCAATCATTGCATTTGAGCGCGCTGCCCTGGCTGTTTTTTTTTTGGATCACGCTGCAGAGTCCCTGCCGCCCGAGAGGAGGGAGGGGAGCGGGCGCCCGGCACACAAGAGCCGCATTAAAGCGTGTAAAGAGCCACATGTGGCTCGCGAGCCGCGGCTTGCCGACCACTGGGCTAAGCGATGTTGCGTGACCACCTGCAGCCAATGATGGACAAGCGGGGCATGTCATCACAAATCATATGAGTCGGGTGTGGGTCTTCACCTCCGCCGAACCCGCGAGACTGACTCACCGAACCCCTGGGGTTTGATCGAACCCAGGTTAAGAACCACTGGCCTAAAGGATCTCAACCAATCTCCAAACAGGAGGCTTGGCAAGGGGTTGGGAGAGCCTTTAAGCATAGCTGTATATTTTATGTACTCTCCAGCGCCTCAGGATATGCACAGCCAAAAAGGAAGCCAAGGGTACCAGGACAGCGACAACCAAAGTAAATGCTTCAGGGGTGCAGCCCTCCTCAGACGGGGAAATCAGCCACTGGATAGAGAGAAAACAGGTGGCGCACACACCTAGTGCATTATCCAAGGTTTATTGTAAGGAGTGAAAAAATATATTAAAAACATAATCACAAACGAAGCATGTATCTAAAAAGCATAGAAAAATGACGATGGCCACAACGGCAGGCAAGGTGTTCTCACTGTCAGAGAGGTCAAATTTTTCTATGCTTTTTAGATACATGCTTCGTTTGTGATTATGTTTTTAATATATTTTTTCACTCCTTACAATAAACCTTGGATAATGCACCAGGTGTGTGCGCCACCTGTTTTCTCTTTAAGCATAGCTGTGCCTGCTCAGTGGAGAGGGAGAGTTCGGGTGGAAGATGAGAGAAGGAGCTGGAAAGTGGAGCCTGGGAGGAGGCCGAGGGAAGAGGCCTACCTCCAGGAGAGTTGCTGAGAGGAGAAAAACTGGATCTCGCCAACCCCCTAAAAGAGGACCATCTGTGGATCTTAGGAAGGAGCTAGCCCAGCAGAAAGCAGCTACTGACCTGCAGCTTACAGAGGAGGGAGAGTGAGTATTTGTGTACTCCCTAGACGATGTCTACCTGTAGGCGACAGGGCATTTGGGTGGAAAACCTAACAAGCCCCAGCAGGTGTGTGTGCTTTTAAAGTTTCAGACTCTAGATTCCCCTTTTCCAGGGATTTCTACACCAGGAGAGGCTGGATAGCTCTCCAAGAAGAGAAGAGAACCCTTCTGAGCGATTGTACATAGTTCTCGAAAGTTGTCCCCAATGTAACAGATCCTTGGGCATTCTATGTAGAAGGAGCTGGAAAGTGGAGCCTGGGAAGAGACAGAGGGAAGATGCCTGCCTCCAGGAGAGTTGCTGAGAGGAAGTAAGCTGGACCTCGCCGGCCTCCCTAAAAGAGGACCATCGGTGGAGCTTTGGAAAGAGCTAGCCCAGCAGAAAGGCCTGAAAACAGCTACTGACCTGCAGCTTACAGAGGAGCGACAGTGAGAATTTGTGCACCCCCTGGACCAGGGGTCTCCAAACTATGGCCCTCCAGGTGTTGAGGACCTGCAAGTCCCATGAGGCCTTGCAAGACTCTGACAGCCTCAAGCAAGATTCCCAGAGGCATGATGGGACTTGTAGTACTTCAACAGCTAGAGGGCCATAGTTTGGAGACCCCTGCCCTAGACGATGTCTCCCTGTAGGGGACAGGGCATTTCGGTGGGAAACCTGACTAGCCCCAGCTTTTAAAGTTTCAG